TTAACCGTATTAACTGGGCTAACATGGTTAACAAGAACGCCACGCCCTGGCATTATAAACGTTCGCAATTTTCTCCGGTCATCTTCTACTTTCTTTATATTAGATCAAAATATTTTATTCAGTACCTTATTATGGTACAATTAAACATTTAAATCAAAGCATAATAGTTAATTAATGTGTCCTAAGACTTGCAACACAACTGTATATATATAAAACTTTACAGAACAAAGGAAAAGTTCAAACACAAGGGTTTTTTACACAGTCTGACATACGATAACAAATTTAATTGATTTAATGTACTCTAGCGTCCACTACCTTGTATCAACTTAGAAATCGATTCTGTTTAAGACTTCATTATAAAACATGTTAATTAGTCGTATATTATTGCAATGTCGTCATTATTTAAAAGAACTGACTCATTAGATATGTGTAAAAATTAAATTGTAGCAAAATAACATTCATATTGCAGGTATTCCAGAATGCCACTGTAATTACGTGTGTTATGTAACCTTCAATTTTTCCATTAACACTAATTGTCATAAACGTATAATATTCCGTTTTTAATAACCAGGGTATTAATAGCTCCTGAAAAAGATTTAATAAAACAACTACTGTTATTACATGTTGGAATGTATAAAATTACATTTTCTGTTCCACTTTCAAAGTCACAACTTCTGCATTCTTTACAAGCAAATAAAAATAGATTTCTGAAATGTCTGCAGCTACATTACTCTGGCTTATAACCGAATGAACACCTGGAGGAAAATAATTCATATTCAAATACGTCGTCGGTTTAACTTGGTGACATCTAACTGAATCGTGTGAGGCCTCTATTTGGTCACAGGGTCTGTATGTCAACGGCACGTCACTGCGTTTTCCGCGACGGTACAGCATCCAGTCAGATCTCTTTTGTACCTATTGTAACTAACCGTACACAAAATCCTAGTCCAAAATTTTGGACCCAGACGATTTTATGTCTAAGTAAAACATCTCATTGGGGGCAGTAGGTCCAAAACTAACTCCACACTGTACAGTCCTTCTTGAGAAGCTCATAGTCGCTAAGCTGGTGAAGAAATGCACCGCCTCTTATGACGATAGTGGATCAATTACCGTGTTCACAAACACTTGCCACTGTATTCTATCCTGAGATAGTTTGATCAAGCCCACGCTCTGTTTCATTAAATATTAAACTCTCATCTAAGTCTAGGTCTCTGGAGTGGTCGCTGCTGAAAGACATTTTATACGAATTTCTCATTGCCAACACGTGTGCTATATTTCGCGCCAGCAAAACCCTGTTTTATCTTATAATACTAAAAATATCTGATAAACATAAATTATGAAATTTGAGGATTTTATAGCAATCTAAATTTATTGGTGTTACTCTTAAACGTTGGCTTATACCGACGACTCTACGAGACGCCAAAACCCAGAAGAACATCATGACAAATAATGAATCTTCTCATTATGTTTATTTATACTCCCTTCAAGACATTGTTATTCATCTGCTGTGCTGTTTCGTTAGGGCGGCGGCATAGTTTCAAGCCTTATAAAGCAAAAGGTGAAATTATAGCTTTGTGCCGAAAAGTCTAGTTTGTAACAAGCTGTTTATCGGTATCGTTTTGTGATGCACATTTCAACTTACTCAAGTCGATTCATATTTCAGTCTACCTTTAAAAATAATATTTCAGTGAGCCCATATTTGTGTGTGTCTGGAATCACACACCACGACACTTGCACATTTTAAGTACTAGAGCCAGTTCCTTTGAAGTACTTCTGAAACTCATTCCAGCGGGATTACTTGGCGTAATGCTTTGTTTAAATCCTTCGCCCTAACTACCACAGCGGTGAAAAATTTAACATACTGTGCTAAACCGAGGATTTTGCAACTTTACGAAGTGCGAATACGAAAATATGGGCATTTCTGTGATAAAACAATATAACTTGAAATATCAACAACATGAATTTACAAAGTAACTTAAATTTCAATTATCAAACAGTGCAAATATGGAAGCTAACTTGCAGGAACCAAAATTTAAAGTAC